CAAGGTTTCTCCGTAGCTTTTTGGTTCCTGTCCTGGAACTAGCTCTTGTAGACCAGGCTGGCCTCGAACTCACAGAGATCCGCCTGCCTCTGCCTGCCTCTGCCTCCCGAGTGCTGGGATTAAAGGCGTGCGCCACCACCGCCCGGCTTGACCTAATGTTTGGCAGTGGGTCTCTGCCTCTGTTTCCCCCTGTTGCTGTATGAAGCCTCTCTGACGACTGCTGGGCTAGGCACCAATCTGTGAGAATAGCAGAGTATCATTAGGCATCATTACATTGACATTTTGTTTTTACTCCAGTCCTGTTTGGTTCTATCCTGGGTCTCTGGGCCATCCAGCCTCTGGGTCCTGGAGCTCCAGGCGGTGTCAGAGGAGAGCCCACTCTCGTAGCGTGGGTCTCAGGATGTACAGTCATTGGTTGGTCACTTCCACAATCTCTGTGTTTCTGACACATTTTAAATCAAATTTATCATTCTTGATTTCGTCTTGTGTCTCTCAAATACAACCATAATCTTTATCTTTTCTGCCATTAACCACTTTTGAATGAAGCCCAATATTTTCTCAGCTAGCATCCCGAGGAAGAGGGTAAACTGAGAATGTAATCCACCACGTTCTCACGGCTGTGCTGTCTTAACAGACCACATTACTTGACTGTCCTCTCTGCTGCACTGCTGCCACACAGTCCTGACATCTGCTGTTCTCTTGCCTGAATGCTTTCCCTCCATGTCTGTATTTCTTCACCATCCTCAGAACGTAAGCCAGTCTTTGTATCTAAAGGAGGCTTTTCCATTGGCTTAGACTAGATCAGCGCTCTCTGTTGGAGGCCCCATATCGTGTCTTCTGCAGTTAGAATGGATCAGAGCTCTTTGTTGGAGGCCCCGTAGCCCCATATCGTGTCTTCTGCAGCACGTTGTCACTTCGTAGTCTCACGTTTATTTACTCTCTGGTTGACATCTGCTCCATGAGGGCAGGGTGTGGCTCTGCCCTCGTACACTCTCACTCCCAGAGCCTTCCTGCTGCTGTGAAGCAGCACACTAGGGTTTGGCTGTCCATGTTAGACTGCTAACCTTCTGAGTACTGGCTGTACTTCATCATTTATTGGGATGACATGGAGAGATTGTTAGGATGTTTGAGGTCTGTAAAACCTGTATTATTAGGTTGCTATTAAAGCAGCAACCTAACTTAATTAAATTAGTGAATGGAAAAATAAAATGAACCATTTGAGGGGAAATTACTTACTGATATTGATCATAGTTTATATCTATCCTCTAGTTGGTCTTCTTTGTTTTTGTAAAAAGAGTGTTCTTACAGAGCTCTTCTCTCTTCCGGAGCTTGAGCTTTCTTTGAAAACTTAAATAACCATCATTTTGAAGTTGGTGACCTCTCTAGTAAAGTTAGTGTTTCTGTGAACTTTCTGAAGGTGACACCCACTCGGGCGGCAGCAGCAGAGAAGGCCCATTTAAGGAGACCGTGACCCTGAAGTGGTGCACACCCAGGACCAACAGCATTGGTGAGTAGACAGCCCTGGGAGAGCGGGAGAATTGCCGAACACCAGAGGTCTTTGAAGTGTGATGTTGGGTCATGAATTTCTGTTTGAATTTTTATTTTTCATTGCTTAGAGACTCAATAAGCAATAGGACATTTCATTATATTCCTTCAAATCAGTGTTTTCTTTTGTTTCAGAATTACACTATTGCACTGGAGCATATCGCATCTCACCCGTAGATGTAAACAGTAGACCTTCTTCCTGCCTCACGAATTTCCTCCTCAATGGTAATTATCATCTAATCCGCGACTTAGGTGGAGCCATCAGTGTCACCGGAGTCTGTTTGCCGACAGTGCTCTGCACTCACATGGTTGGGAATCGCCTTTAGCAGCTGGGCTGAGGGTCGGAAAATGACTTTCTTCCTGACTTCCAGACTGTTGTTATATCTAAGTTTTGTCCAGCATAGTTTTAAGAATTTTTATTTAAATTTTGATCTTTAAAGTCTGGCTTGACATTTTTTTGGAAGCTGGACTAGTAGACCTCCATCTTGGCCCTGAACAGTGTCTGTGGGCTTCACCCTCACTGTAGCTAACTGTTTTCAGTGTCTCGCCACTGTGATTCCTAGCCAGACCTGAAGTTTATGGCTTGTTTTACTTACGTAATTTACATCTCAATTACTGACTTTCATCTTCTATATCTAAATTTTTAAATCTCTTCATGTAATAATAATTTTGGAACTATTGATTTTAAAAATCTGTCATTTTGTAAGTTTTTTATTCATTGTTATCTTAAATACAGTTTGAAGCTGGCGGGCGCACACCTTTAATCCCAGCACTCAGGGAGGCAGAGGCAGGAGGATCTCTGTGAGTTCGAGGCCACCCTGGTCTACAGAGTGAGTTCCAGGACAGCCAGAGAGATACAAAGAAACTCTGTCTTGAACCTCCCTCCCTCTAAAAAAATACAGTTTGATTATCAGAATATTTAAAATCCAAATTCCCTAGCATTTGGTAAGTGAAATAGGAACTCAGAACTGTGCTAGCAAGGCAGTACTGTGGAAGGGGATTGAGACTGTGCCTTCCCTCAGATGCTGTGTAGCATTCATAACCTGAGGTTTTTTCGGTCGCTTAGTTTTCACCTTAAATGTCCACAAGGAGGTTTTTATGTGACCTTGAAATTGAGTAAACATGCAAACAGCCATTAGAACTGTTTGGGAAACTAGCCCTATAACGTGTAAACTAGAGAAGCTAGGTGTTAAGGGAGTGTAGATGCACCAGCTTAGCCCTGCTGGCTAAAATAGGAGCTGTTTGAGTTTGTTACCGACAGCTTGATCTTGCTTCTGACAGGTCGATCTGTGTTGTTGGAACAGCCACGAAAGTCAGGTTCCAAAGTCATCAGTCACATGCTTAGCAGCCATGGAGGGGAGATCTTTTTGCATGTCCTTAGCAGCTCTCGATCCATTCTAGAAGATCCGCCTTCCATTAGTGAAGGCTGTGGAGGAAGAGTTACAGACTACCGGATTACAGTGAGACTTTTAAAAAATGTTTATTTTATGTGTGGGTTTTGTCTGTATGTATGTTTGTGCACTGTGTGCATGCCTGTTTCCTTTGGAGGCCAGAAGAGGGTGTTCTGCTCTCTGGAACTGGAGTTAGAGACAGTTGTTAGTCACTGAGTGGGTGCTGAGAATCTAACCTGGGCCCTCTGCAAGAGCAGCCACTGGACATCTGTCCAGCCCTGGTATAAACCTCACTATCTGTATGTTTGTTTTGAGTCATTTAGCAAGAGTTCTTGTATGTTAAGGTTATGGGGAACACCGGTCTCAGCGGAGCTGGTTGTTGTTTCCATAACCGACATCACTGTGTCTTCTCTGCCTTGTGATGCATTCAGTGACTGGGAAGTGTCTGGGTCCTAAAGCACCAGAGTCAGAGAGGAACAGACTAGTGCTTTCTTTTGTGTGTATTGATATTTCAGGGCTACTTTTTTGAGATGGTTTGGAACTTAAACGTGGATTTATGTATATATGTACACATGATAAACTACCAACTATTATATACTTTAATTATTTTATTAGACTTTTGGGTAATAATTTTTAAGGGGCTGAAAACCAATTAGTATTCATTATAGAAAAGTGAGACCGTAACAAACGTCTAAAAACCAAACAAACGAAAAGCTAAGACTCCATCATTCAAAGACCGTTGTTCAGGCTCTGTCAGGCAGCTTTTTCATAAGCAGATTGGTCTGGAAGAAAGCGGTTAAATCATAGGAATGGAGTAGAGGTTTCAACTTGGAGAGGGGGCGGGGCTCGCAGTGAGAAGGGGCTGTGCTGGCGGTCACAGGACAGAGGCCGTGAGGGAAGTGACTGTCAGATGTAACCCGTGCTGCAACTCTAGACTAGTTTCTAATTGTGTCTTATCTGGTTATCATTAGGATTTTGGTGAATTTATGAGGGAAAACAGGTTAACTCCTTTTCTAGACCCCAGATATAAAATGGATGCGAGTCTAGAGATCCCGCTGGAACGTGCAAAGGACCAGTTAGAAAAGCACACCCGTTACTGGCCCATGATTATCTCACAAACCACCATTTTCAACATGCAAGCGGTGAGTCTCATTTTACTTTATTTCTGGATTAGTGTGTATTTATAAATATGTTTGTAGAAAAAAATTAAGCATTTGTAATTGGTGCCACTTTGAGTTTGTTGCGACTGAAGAATTAGTGGTGAGGACAGAAGCAGCAGTTATGGGTCCTCCTTGTGACCGTCGTTAAAGTCAGCTTGAAACCAACTTCGTCCTTAATACTTTGATGCTTGGTTTTCAAGACAGATTTCCTTTTTCTCTTCTTTCTTTTCTTTCTTGTTTTAACCTAACAGGTCGTTCCATTAGCCAGTGTTATTGTGAAAGAGTCTTTGACAGAAGAAGACGTGTTAAACTGTCAGAAAACTGTATACAACTTGGTCGACATGGAAAGGAAAAATGACCCTCTTCCTACTTCTACAGTGGGCGCCAGAGGGAAGGGCCCCAAAAGGTAGTGCATGTGTGCTCTGTGGAGGTGTGAATTACCAGAGGGGTGCATGTGTGTGCTCTGTGGAGGTGTGAATTATCAGAGGGGTGCATGTGTGTGCTCTGTGTAGGTGTGAATTATCAGAGGGGTGCGTGTGTGCTCTGTGTAGGTGTGA